TATGTAATATATAAAATAAATATTTATATATATGCTACGCAGGAAATTGGACCACAATAGAGGCCTTCAGTTCCTGAGGGAATTAGGTATTCTAGAGAAGACTTATCATGAGTTGGATGCTGAGGAGCCACCTGTAGAAACAGATTAAGTCGAATGTACTTGACCAATGTGGCAGAAATTTACACAGAGTGTAATTTTGGCAACAATGAGCTGGAGGGAAGCAGCAGCACCAACAGTGGATGACGTGAATCATCAGCTCTGGGAGTCTGAAAACAGTCTTGCCCCTTCCATCATTTCAGCTGTCGAAAAACTGTCCCAGGAGTTCCAGCAATTGGGAGTTGATATATCCAGCTCCCCGTGTGTACAGATCCGCACCTCTGCTATTATCAGAAGGTACCCTGTTGCTTGAGAGAGAGCATATAAGAGGAAGTCACCATGACTACCTGTTCCTAGGATGGAAGGATTCCGGGTGGAGAAGAACATAAGCCATGCACGCACACACACACAAAACTGCTAGAAAGTTTATTACAAAGTCTAAAATAGTCATAAAAATCCAGAGATATAACAGGCTAGAGAGAGATAACTAAAGGTTACCAAATGTAGGTTAGACACAGATTCTTACCGACCCACACACCTGTCCACTGACCAAGAGGCGAGCTCCGAGGTGCATCGTGAAGAGATGGGGTGGCAGGCACTACTTTAGCGGGTGTCCCCACAGAGGTAATGTCGTCCTTGGTGGTAGTTGGATCTGCCTCTCTGTCTCTCCTGAACCCAGGGCTTTTATCTGTTAAAAAGTGAACACTCATTCTGACATGGGGGGCCAGTCCATGCCAGAAGGGGTGGCCGGGGTAGCTTCTTGCTGTGTCCACACCATTAGGTGCAGGGGGCTTGTGGGATCTCTTACTTCTGCTTGCTTTCTCCCCTTCCTTCGTCATTGTCGCCTTCAATTGCCCTTGGCTACCATTTGTGGGCAAAACCAAGATGGTACAATCCAAACAGTACCTGCCTCCAAAAAGTTAGCAGGCTGTTTGAGGAAGTTAGCAGGGCTTTGGGGGTGGGCCACCACGGACCAGTTCCTCTTTGTCAGACTCATCTGACACATGCCACCGCATGGGCCATGTGAGGACCATCCCCAATTCGAACTGAGTGCACTTCCAAAGGGTTGGGGGCAGGCCACCATGGACCAGCTCCCATTTATCAGACTTGTCTGACACAGTACCTTATGGTTTTACCTGTGGGATCATGGAGAAACATGAGAGAGTAGGATGGAAAACCTACCTCAGTTCTGGAGGAACAGGTATGTGAATTGCAAGGAAAAAAAAACAGTGAATGGAGATCTTCCCAGGAAAGTTGCTGCTCCAGTCTTTGGTGAGCAGCTTCCCAGATGGAGTGGAAGAGCTGGATTTTACTCAGACTCCTATGAAAAGGACTTCTAATCCCTTTGTACAAGAAGTAAATGCAGAATTTTATGATTACTGTTAGAGGGGCCCTGCCTCCAGCCAGGTGGAGGGAGAGGGACAGTTGGGTTTACTGGACTGTGTGGATCAGATGGCCTGGCATATCAGTCCTACAGGAGTATAAGGATCTAGTAGATAACAGTGCACAGTGTACCCTGATGCCATCAAGGTGTTAAGGGGTGGAACTCATTTATGTTTCTGGAGTGACAGGAGGATTCCAGGAGTTGACTGTACCGGAGGCTGACATCA